ATATATATATATATATATATATATATATGACCTGTTAATGTAAAACTGATAGATTGTTAAGTATTGTGAGAAAATACATGAAAAATACGATCCAGTTGAGCTTGTTTTTATTTTGCTGGCTGTAATCACATATGTCAAAAATATAGGCAAAGAAAAACTTTGTTGGCACTTTTCTTTCTTATATAGGCAAGAAAGGGGAGAACACAGTTTAAGATTGGCCTCAGCTACACAATTTAGTCAAACTTAGTGTATGATTGTTATATTTTATGTTTGCTTATTTTATGTAAGTTGTAACCTCAAACATTCAAAGAAGGATTTTAGGATTTTGTTTTTATCAGTGAAGTATTTATTTTTAATCTTTTTTTGTGTAAATATCATATAACTTTAAAAATGTTAAAGATAATTAGATACTGCACTTGTAGTGTTTATGCAGTAGCCAGTTTTTAAAATGTATACATTTCATTATTTATATATCTTATTAAACTTGTGATTCATGATTCTTTCAAATTAGGTGCAGGAGTGGTAATGCAGATAACAGTATTTATCTTTTCTATTCTAAAAAATTTGTTTGCTGCATGGAATGTATACTTCCTCTACCTGTCTTTCTATCCTGATAGCCCATGGATGAAATGTGACAACCAGTGGAATACAGAAGGTAAATAGTTTCTCACTTGTGTAAATATTGTGCATTTCCATTGAATGCAAAGTTAAATACTGTGTTTTTTCAACAAGTTCAACCATGAATTACCTCACATTTAGTGATGTGCCATGACCACTCTGATGGTAGGCTAATCAAAATTTTACATTGATTATAGATAAATTAATAATAAAATAATACAATAAATAGAAAATTATTAATATAATTAAAAACAAGCAAGATAAGCGCTATAAAAAGAAAAAAGTTGGTATTGAATATACTAAAAGCTGTGTCTATCCACAACTAATCTGAATTTCAGACCATCTCTATCGCTCACACACATGGCTAACTTACAGAGTAGTTAGTTGATAGTACTAAAGTTAAACTCTAAGACCAGGTGAAATATGTAGGCAATAATAAGATATCAGAAACTAACTAATAACATAATGTTGTACTATATTAGAAACTTTTAGTTTTTAATGTGCTTTGTGCTAACTGATGTTAATTATTTAATAAAAAAAAGACAAAGCCTTAAACTTCTGAAAAAAGTAATACTTTAACATATCAATATTGCTTCAGCATCAAGATACAATATAATAAACAAACACTGAGTACAATTGATATGAAATTAGGCTTATTTAAAAGTAATATTCAAATGAATTGCACTGTATAATCTTGTGACATCATATATAGGTGAAAATAATAATATAGCATTAGATTAAATTTTTTTAGCATACTTACTTTCCCTCACACTACTGCTATTACTGCTAGGGTTTCTTTTCCTTTGCCCATCTAAGCATTGGTCTCATTTTTCTCACTTACTTCAGTCTTTTATTCCCCACTTAATTGCCCTTGGCAATATCTATCTCGTGACACACTCCACATAAATCAGTGCACCCTCTATCCTGGTACTGATAATATTGTCACTTTTTTTCTTCACAAAGTGTTCACTCACGGGCTTTTCTGTTGTACAATCTTTGACCATTCTTTGTTGTTTGCAGTCTTTTTCCAATCACCCCTCCTTCTTTGTGTTGCATATTTGATTTTTCTAAAAAAAATTAATAAAACTTTTTGTTTGGCAAGCTGATGTACAGCATGAATTTCTGGATTTATTTATCCGGCATGGAGGTAAATCAGGTCTCTCCTCTCCTATCCCACCTCTGATATCTAGCACTGCTCAAGAATCGAGGGAGGGCTACTGGTTAAGGCTTCCATGATCTTATCTGTAATGATATTGAGACGTACATTCAGTCTGGTGTGGTTTCTCTGTAGAACTCTGCAGCTGCACTTATGAGCAATCCAGGATATTCCGGAGATCATTTAGATTTGCTTTTTTCAGTGCCTTTCTCTACTCTGTCAGCTTCACATGAGGCCAATTTAGATTGCCACCTCCAGCTCCTTTTCATCGGTTGGTAAATCCTGTGTATGACGTTTTGGGTCTTTACCAGTTGCTTTTGAGTCTGCACCTTCCTTGATGGTGGAAAGGTTTGAAGGTGAGTACTTAGTTCTTCCTCTGTCCCCTGATATTACAGTTCATACAGGAAGGTTTACTGCTCAGTTATGTGAAGAGACAGCTATGCTTTGTCCACCACATTTGTCAGAACAACATGGCTTTAGCCTACCACCACTATGTGGAAGCATATTCAGACTCTCAGAGAATAACCTGCTCTTGGAAATGTTGGATTCAGAAATGGAGTATGTGGTCAATCTGAATAGATCACAATTTTCTAGGATCCATCTGACCATAACTATGGTGCTGAGAAGTAAATTAAACTTTTTTCGGAAGCCTTTCATCTAGCACCACATCAATTTGGTGATGAGTTGTTGGCATCTACCTTGGTTCGTCACCAGCTTCTGCACTATTCCTAGTCTCTTGGCTGGTATGTTATTGGGATTTGTTGGAGGGCATTTGTCTAACTGCCGCTGCCCTCTGCGAGTTACGTGAGGTCCCCTTTCTCCAACCATAGATTTTTGCAGCCATTCCAGAGTCTTTGGAATCAAGGGTTGATGTCGGCCATCTGCATTTATCCCTGTCTTCATTGGTTTCTCGATTTTCCCACGACTCCTATAGGGGGTCGGGGGTCATAATTCTGCTCCTATACGAGTGTCCTGATCCCTGACATCAGCCTCTCAGTTAGTTGTTACTCACAATAAATTCTGCCCTTATCCCTGAGGTTCCTCCACTCAGTTGGAATGTTGCCTGTGGCAGCAATGACTATTATATGCCTTTGGTGGCTGTGGGGCTCAGCTGCAAGAATTTCTGGATGTGTGGAAAACCTTTATCATGGATCAATGAGTACTACAGGTCCTTGCAGCAGGATTGGTAATTCAATTCACATCACCACAACCACTACCCCCAACTTGTAGTGTTTCCACTTCCCACAAATCCTTGGATTTCGGAACTTTGTTCTGAGGCTATCAGAGATTTGTTGGTTAAGGGAGCAGTGGAAAGAGTTATTTCAGTTCAGGTTTTATTCTTATCTGTTTGTTTTGCCCAAGAAGATAGGAGATTGGCATCTGGTTATTAGTCTTTTATTTCTAAATAAATTCCTAGATCCTACAAAGTTTACCCTATAGGCCGGGTACACTTTACTGCGCATGACACAAAGTTTTAGTGTTTTACATTCAAAATTTTATTAAACAACTTTCTGTTTATGTAATATTATCTTAGCTAATAATCCATATTTTACTAGTATACAAGTTTTAAGTTCTTAATTCTACAAGGAAATATATAAAAAAAATCTTGAATTTCCACTAGTGAGACACACTTTACTGTGCATGACACAAAGTTTTAGTGTTTTACATTCAAAATTTTATTAAACAACTTTCTGTTTATGTTATATTATCTTAGCTAATAATCCATATTTTACTAGTATACAAGTTTTAAGTTCTTAATTCTACAAGGAAATATATAAAAAAAATCTTGAATTTCCACTAGTGAGACACACGTGAAACATTTTGTCTTAGCATGTCATCATCCCTATTTTATCCATCACCCCCTTAAAAATGTACAAAATTAAACGTAAGATACTCTCTATAAAATCATTATTGCTCAAACAGACCATAATTTTTATAGCCTTCAATTTTGTTTGGTTACAGAGCTATCGATTAGAAAATCAGACCCCTTCTGCCACACCCACTTGTCACATCTTCTCACAATTCGTTGATTTGTACATTTCATTATATATATTACCTGTAACCAACAGAAAGTCAAGGTTTTCATCTATCAAATGGCGTATTGTATAATGTTGTGTTCTGAAATGATAACCGTCAATTTCACTCGGAGTAGCAACATTGTTCCCATGGGAAGGTTAACAACTAGCGTGGATGAATTTGTAACGGTTTTTGTCGCATAGTTAGAAAGCCAGGAACATTTTTAGATGTAAGTGAATTTGTCTACTTTTCGCATGTTATTAGTCTATATTCTTTGGTGTATTATTTAATTAAATAAAAAATTGTTAAGTGCTTTACTATAATCACAAAAAATCAGGCTTAACTTTCCTCGACAATCGAGGGCAAGAAAAAGAAGATTGGGTAAGTACTTTATTTCTTGTTTTTCATATATATTCTTTATTTATTATTATAAAAGTAACTAAATTAAAAGTACTAATCTTTTTAAGTTATTTAAGACTAAATTAGGTAAAATAATAATAATATAATTAAAATGGTTCATGAGGCACGCACGCGAGCAGCTCGTGGGTAATGTAATTCGATAGCGTAACGTGAGCTACACATTCCCTCGAGTGGTTTACAACTTATAATTGCAGGGATAGTAGTTAGACACAGTTAAAAGGGCAATAAAACAATAAAATTTAATTATAAATAGATGTATAATGTTACGAACTTAGAGCTACTTAGGATAGACGAATGTAGTTTCAGGTTACAATTTGAAGTGATTCTAGAAAGAAAAGATGGTTAATTTAGGTTTATTTCGTATTTTTTTTCTTTTTGGTGGTTACGAGGTAGGTCAAATTGACCGATTCTGTTTCGAGATAGGGTAGAGAAAATAACATATACACTATAAGGATTTAGTGAAAAAAATCGTTTGAAATGCATTTAGGAAGTTTTAGTGATTACACAAAGGAAGATTTTTTAGATGACGAAGAGTATTTTTAATTTTAACATGAAAATTGCTTTGCACATGGGCTATTTAAAACAAATACTCAATATATTCATGGACAAAACTTTATTTTATTTTATTAGAAATACTTCACTAAGAAATATGTCTTTTTGTATGTGAAGGACATGTAATATTAACTGAAAGATTGCCAAATTTCGTGAAGATATACCCAATATATAGAGAGTTATAAGTAAGCCATATCAGGGGCGTACGAAAATCTATTAGCTTAGTCGGGCTATACCTGAATAAAATCTGGACTTTTATGCATATCTCAGGTTCAGTTTATTAATATCATCATTAAACAGGTACCCTACCCACCCTGCTCCACAAGACACACATTTGTGATTGTAGCCCTACTGATATCTAATTGCTTCCTTTACCTATGCGGCCTGGCATAGCCAGGTGGTTAGGTTCGAATCCCAGTTCCACCAAACATACTCGCCCGTTTGCAAATGCAAAAACCTTTCTAAGTCACTCTGTAATACAATGGAGTATACAATTTGTTGTAATTAACATTACTTATGAACAGCTCATATTTTAGGTTAGATACAAGCAAATTTCTATCTTTAAGTTATATTAATTCTAAATACCAATAATATTGTGTAAATAAACGAACCGTCCCAAACAGAGACGAAATAGCAAAGATAACAGGATATTTGTACTAATAAGCAATATTGTTTTTCTTCGTATAGTATTAAACGTCAGTTTTTGAACATATGCCTACCAATATAAATTAAACAAATGAAAGATAAATATTTGAATCACAAGAAGATCAAAAGTATATCATACGATAAACACATTGTTTGTGTACGAGAAGTGTTAGCACATTATCAAAGGTCACTTTCTAGGCGTACCATTTATTTCGTTTGCTACACGGGGAAGGCGGGGCAACGTGTAT